CAACAAAGAAGCTCCTGTTTGGTAGCAGGTTTCCTATGAGGCGGGTGAGGTGGTCGTCCTTGGTGATATTATATATTTTTCTCAGGAGGAGGCAGCGGTGGTTCACAGCATCATAAGCTGCTGACAGGTCTATGAAGACAGCTCCTGGGATCTGCTGCCTTTCAAAGCCATCTTCTATGTGCTGAGTCAGGTTCAGCACTTGCGATGTGCAGCTTTTGCCTTTCCTGAAGCCAGCTTGCTGTGGGATCAGACAGGGGTCTGTTTTTTCCGTAATTCTATGCAAAACAAGTCTCTCCAGAACTTTGTAGAGGTGGCACAGCAGGGAGATTGGTCTGTAGCTTTTTGGGTAGTAGGCGGTAAGAGCACCTGAGCCAGGGCAGTTCAAGCGGGGTCAAACTACATTAATTCTTCAGTGCAGACGGAGCAAAGTTGAAATGACAACCAGGTGGTCGTGATGCACAAAACGGGTTCTATTTGCAAGTGTGAAAAGTAGGAAAGAAAACAAGACGTGGGATGTTGAAAGAACCCAGCAATGTAATGCAGAAAGTGCCAACCTGTGTGCGCGATTTAGTACCTTCAAGGCAAAATAAACCCCCTCTTGCCTTCTGCTGCAGCTTAAAATACTCCTGGCTTGAGAAGGTTATTTTGTTCTCCGGGGGAACACGGTGTTTGTTTTTCCTGAAATGAACCGACTCCCGAGGAAGGAAAATATGGAGCGGTTTTGGAGTGCGCTTGGATGGGGAGTGGCTCAGGCCAGGCCCATCATCCACCCCTTTCACCCTGCCTAACCCCAGCGGCAGAATCATAACAATAGTTTGCAAAGCTGGTGTGTAAATGTATGGACGGCCTTTCTGGATAAAGTGGTCCAAATCTGGAAAGCTGAAAGCGGACCTTCCCCAAAGCCTGGGACAAAGTTCCGCTTTGAACAGCGGAGGGAGCTCAGAGATCGTTTTTAAACAAAGTTTAGGAATGTGGTTTTAAAAGATGCTCAAGCTGCCAAAGAACAGCTTGGATGCAAGGGTTGAATGAAAAGTAATGCCTCCACCTTTGTTACTTGGGTTTGGATGGGAATATTTTAATAAATCAAATGCAGAAATCATCCTTAGAATGTGCTGTTTAATTACCACTATTCACTTTTCGACCCAGTGACGAAAAGTTTAACCCCGGTGACTGAAATACAACAGCGTACCTGAGCTCTGTGAGTGCAGCTTTTTTCCGAATGAAGCGGAGAGTGTTTGAGGACCGGGACACCAGTAGGGAGACCAAGGTGCTTGTTTATAAAGCCATTCTCCTCCCAACCCTGCTATACGCCTGCGAAACGTGGACTGTCTACAGACATCAACATTGACACTGAAATTCAACACCACCTGAGTTCTGTGAGTGCAACATTTTTCTGAACGAAGCAGAGTGTTTGAGGACCAGGACATCCATTTGGAGACCAAGGTGCTTGTTTATAAAGCCATTGTCCTCCCAACCCTGCTATACGCCTGCGAAACGTGGACTGTCTACAGGCATCAACATTGACACTGAAATTCAACACCACCTGAGTTCTGTGAGTGCAACATTTTTCTGAACGAAGCAGAGTGTTTGAGGACCAGGACATCCATTTGGAGACCAAGGTGCTTGTTTATAAAGCCATTGTCCTCCCAACCCTGCTATACGCCTGCGAAACGTGGACTGTCTACAGGCAAGTCAACATTGACACTGAAATTCAACACCGCCTGAGCTCTGCGAGTGCAGCTTTTTTCTGAATGAAGCAGAGAGTGGTTGAGGACAAGGACATCTGTAGGGACACCAAGATGCTTGTTTATAAAGCTATTGTCCTCTCAACCCTGCTATATGCCTGTGAGACATGGACTGTCTAGAGACGTCACATGCAACTTCTAGAATGATTCTATCAGCGTTGCCTCCGGAAAATCCTGCAAATCTCTTGGGTAGCAGAGAGTGTTTGAGGACGGGACATCCGTAGGGACACCAAGGTGCTTGTTATAAAGCTACTGTCCTCCCAACCCTGCTATACGCCTGCGAAACATGGACTGTCTACGGACATCAACATTGACACTGAAATACAACACCGCCTGAGCTCTGCAAGTGCAGCATTTTTCCGAATGAATCAGAGAGTGTTTGAGGACCGGGACATCCATAGGGATACCAAGGTGCTTGTTTATAAACCATTGTCCTCCCAACCCTGCTATATGCCTGCGAAACGTGGACTGTCTACAGATGTCAACATTGACACTGAAATACAACACTGCCTGAACTCTGCGAGTGCAGCATTTTTCCGAATGAAGCAGAGAGTGTTTGAGGACTGGGACATCCGTAGGGAGACAAAGGTGCTTGTTTATAAAGCTATTGTCCTCCCAACCCTGCTATACGCCTGCGAGACGTGGACTGTCTACAGATATCAACATTGACACTGAAATTCAACACTTCCTGAGCTCTGCGAGTGCAGCTTTTTTCCGAATGAAGCAGAGAGTGTTTGAGGACCGGGACATCCGTAGGGAGACCAAGGTGCTTGTTTATAAAGCTATTCTACTCCCAACCCTGTTCTACGCTTGCGAAACGTGGACTGTCTACAGACGTCAGATGCAACTCCTGGAATGATTCCATCAGCGTCGCCTCTGAAAAATCCTGCTAATTTCCTGGGAAGACAGGAGGACAAATGTCAGTGTGCTGGAAGAAGAAAATAAGACCACCAGCATTGAAGCGATGGTGCTCCACCATCAACTCCGCTGGACTGGTCACGTTGTCCGGATGCCCGACCACTGTCTCTCAAAGCAGTTGCTCTATTTCGAACTCAAGAACAGAAAACGGAAGGTTGGTGGGCAGGAAAAGAGAGATATAAAGATGGGCTCAAAGCCAACCTTAAAAACACTGAGAACTGGGAAGCCCTGGCCCTTGAGTGCTCCAGCTGGAGATCAGCTGTGACCAGCCGTGCTGCAGAATTCGAAGAGGCACGAATGGAGGGCAAAAGAGAGAAATGTACCAAGAGGAAGGCACGTCAAGCCAACCCTGACTGGGACCACCTTGCACCTGGAAACCGATGCACAAACTGGAAGATAGAATCATAGAATCCTAGAGCTGGAAGAGTCCTCATGGGCCTTCCAGTCCAACCCCCTACCAAGAAGCTGGAAAATTGCATTCAAAGCATCCCCGACAGATGGCCATCCAGTCTCTGTTTAAAAGCGTCCAAAGAAAGAACCTCCACCACACTCCAGGGCAGAGAGTTCCACTGCTGAATGGCTCTCACAGTCAGGAAGTTCTTCCTCATGTTCAGATGGAATCTCCTCTCTTGTAGTTTGAAGCCATTGTTCCGTCCTAGTCTCCAAGGAAGCAGAAAACAAGCTTGCTCCCTCGTCCTCCCTGTGGCTTCCTCTCACATATTTATACATGGCTATCATATCTCCTCTCAGCCTTCTCTTCTTCAGGCTAAACATGCCCAGCTCCTTAAGCCGCTCCTCATAGGGCTTGTTCTCCAGACCCTTGATCATTTTAGTCCCTCTCCTCTGGACACATAACATGAGTCAACAATGTGATGTGGCAGCAAAAAAAGCCAATGGGATTTTGGCCTGCATCAAGAGGAGCATAGTGTCTAGATCTAGGGAAGTCATGCTCCCCATGCTCTATTCTGCTTTGGTTAGACCACTTTACCTGGAATATTGTGTCCAATTCTGGGCACCACAATTCAAGAGAGATATTGACAAGCTGGAATGTGTCCAGAGGAGGGCGACTGAAATGATAAAAGGTCTGGAGAACAAGCCCTATGAGGAGCGGCTTAAGGAGCTGGGCATGTTTAGCCTGAAGAAGAGAAGGCTGAGAGGAGATATGATAGCCATGTATAAATATGTGAGAGGAAGCCACAGGGAGGAGGGAGCAAGCTTGTTTTCTGCTTCCTTGGAGACTAGGACGCAAGGAACAATGGCTTCAAACTACAAGAGAGGAGATTCCATCTGAACACGAGGAAGAACGTCCTGACTGTGAGAGCCGTTCAGCAGTGGAACTCTCTGCCCCGGAGTGTGGTGGAGGCTCCTTCTTTGGAAGCTTTTAAACAGAGGCTGGATGGCCATCTGTCAGGGGTGATTTAATGCAATATTCCTGCTTCTTGGCAGGGGGTTGGACTGGATGGCCCATGAGGTCTCTTCCAACTCTTGATTCTATGATTCTATGTGGTCTAACCAAAGCAGAATAGAGGGGTAGCATTACTTCCTTAGATCTAGACACTATGCTCCTATTGATGCAGGCCAAAATCCCATTGGCTTTTTTTGCCGCCACATCACATTCCTGGCGCATGTTTAACTTGTTGTCCACGAGGACTCCAAGATCTTTTTCACACGTACTGCTCTCGAGCCAGGCATCCCCCATTTTGTATCTTTGCATTTCGTTTTTCCTGCCAAAGTGGAGTCTCTTGCATTTGTCCCTGTTGAACTTCATTTTGTTAGTTTTGGCCAATCATCTCTCTAATCTGTCATGATCGTTTTGAATCCTGCTCCTGTCCTCTGGAGTATTGGCTATCCCACAATTCCTTGAGGCTCGGCATTCGCCCCAAAGGCTTACCTTGGCCCAATGCCGAGCCTCAAGGAATTGTGGGAGTTGAAGTCCACCACAGCTGGAGGGCCAAAGGTTCCCTACCCCTGCTCTAATCTGTGGAGATCCCTTTGAGTCCTGCTCCTGTCCTCTGGAGTCTTGGCTCTCCCTCCCAATTTGGTGTCGTCTGCAAACTGGATGATCCTGCCTTCTAGCCCTTTACCTGAGTCATTAATAAAGGGCTCCATAGCCCCCTACGGACCCATTGCCAGGACACCGATCTTGGAAGACAATCCTACTCGGACAACGAGGGATTGCCTAAGTAAGTAAGTACCTGACACTGTGTAGTTAGTATGTGCCTGTATAGTTTATTTCCCTGGATACGAGTGGTCTGTTAACTCCTGTATGTTATCTATTTAGCAGATGCGTGTCCATGGACCGTCATTAAGTGGGTTGTCTTCTCTGTGTGTCCCCAGCCAGCCTTTGCCGGACGCCACCCAGAAGCCCTCCAGCACCCACTTGGACCACTACCTCTACCGCTTCCGGGCCACTAACCTGCTCCAGATTGTCCAGGCGGCCCTGCGGCTGAAGCACGAAGACGCGGAGCTGCAGGAGGCGCTGGAGCAGGCGGAGGACTGGCTCTCCCGCCTCAGGGCCCTGGCCGAGGAGGTAACCCATGTGGAGACCAAAATCCACCGATTGTGGTAATGTGAAAGTATCTAAATTAACTCAACGTATACATTACAAATACACATATCAACAAATCACAGAGCTGCCACATTCACATTAAGCAGAAACAACTGGTTCCTCTCTTGAAGTGTGAAACAAAACCTTTGTGTGAGTAATAGTCCTTGAATGATAACAAAAGTCTTATTCTTTAACAAATTTGTGGACATCCAGCGGCTCCTCCATGATGACATGATGGCAACAGTCTTGGACAGCAGTGGCTCCCAAAGTGACCCATTTAAAGTGGAATCGGGTGTCAAACAGGGATGTGTTCTTGCCCCAACTCTATCCTCCATCTTCATTGCTATGATACTTCACCTTGTTGACGGGAAGCTTCCCACCGGAGTGGAAATCATCTCTCGGGCAGATGGCAAGCTGTTTAACCTCAGCAGACTGAAAGCCAACACCAAGGTTACAATAAGATCTGTTATAGAACTCCAGTATGCTGATGACAATGTCGTCTGTGCGCATACAGAAGAAGATCTACAAGCCACTCTCAACACCTTTGCAGAAGCATACATGAAGCTCGGCCTGTCACTGAACATCGAGAAAACCCAAGTGCTGTTCTAGCAGTCACCAGCCATCCCCTCCCCAATGCCAGAGATACAGGTTAATGGTGTAACATTAGAAAATGTGGACCACTTCCGTTCCCTTGGCAGCCACCTCTCCACCAAAGTCAACATCGACGCCGAAATACAACACCGCCTGAGCTCTGCAAGTGCAGCATTTTCCCGAATGAAGCAGGGAGTCTTTGAGGACCGGGACATCCATAGGGATACCAAGGGGCTTGTCTATAAAGCTATTGTCCTCCCAACCCTGCTCTACGCCTGCAAGACGTGGACTGTCTACAGACGTCACATGCAGCTCCTGGAACGATTCCATCAGCGCTGCCTCCGGAAAATCCTGCAAATCTCTTGGGAAGACAAGCAGACAAATGTCAGCGTGCTGGAAAAAGCAAAGACCACCAGCACTGAAGCGATGGTCCTCCGCCATCAACTCCACTGGGCTGGCCACGCTGTCCGGATGCCTGACCACCGTCTCCCAAAGCAGTTGCTCTACTCTGAACTCAAGAACGGAAAACGGAATGTTGGTGTGCAGGAAAAGAGATGGAACACTGAGAACTGGGAAGCCCTGGCCCTTGAGCGCTCCAGCTGGAGGTCAGCTGTGACCAGCAGTGCTGCAGAATTCGAGGAGGCACGAGTGGAGGGTGAAAGAGAAAAACGTGCCAAGAGGAAGGCGCGTCAAGCCAACCCCGACCGGGACCGCCTTCCACCTGGAAAGCAATGCCCTCACTGCAGAAGAAGATGCAGAGCAAGAATAGGTTTCCACAGCCACATGTGGACCCACAAGGAAACCCATAATGGAAGACCATCTTGCTCGTCCAGCGAGGGATCGCCTAAGTAAAGTAAGTATTCTTTATTGCATACAAGTAGACTCCAGGAGTCACACGAGTCGACTCCACAAGAGCCTTTGTCAGGCGGTTGGGTCTACAAACAACACATATCATGAATACACACATACAGTTGAACAATTAGTTACATCAAGTTTGTAAATGTATATACAGACACTCTACTTACTCATTTATCGAAAAAGGCTCATCTATCAAAAAAAAAGGTTCAACTTTTGAGGTAAGGGATTCACCAACAATGTCGTGAACCAGAAGCCTTAAAGGAGCCAAACACAAGTAAAAGGTCCAAACAAGGTTTATTAATAAACAAAAATAGCTTAGAAACACTTAATTCTGTGAGTCTAGCAATAAAACAAAGTCTGTAGCAACTGCTACGCAAAAAACGCAACTTGGAGAATTATCCGGATTATACAAGAATATAATCCGGGATAACAAAAACTTCAAGCAAACTGCTTCAAAGTCACAGACACAAATGTAGCAAGATGGGAGCAAGCAAAAATGTAGTCTGGAAACAGTCCAAAGTCGAAGCACGTCCAAAAGTAGATGTAAAAGTCCAAAACACAATGTCGTCGTCGTCGTCCAAAAACAATCCGAAATCAGCAAGAAGGTAGAAGTCAGCACTTACAAGATTCCAGTCGGTAGAAGTACGGTAACACAGCAATCTGCAGTCCCAGGACCCAAGTCAAGAGTAATGGCAGCAACAAAGTCCCCAGCACGAATACAACACTTTGCCTACTGCAAAGTTCCCAATGTTTGATACCTTCTTTTATCTTATAGCTCATTATCGGATGATGAACTGCTCTCCACCCTGCCTTCATCACTCTCAGCTGCTTTAGCTTCCACAGCTGCTCACCACCGCCCATCCCTCCAACTTTTCCAGCGTCTATCAAGACTTAGATCACCCCATGTATTTCCAGGTTGCCAGTCTCCCGAAAACCCTTCAAACTCATCACTTGATGTAGGTTGAGTACATATGTCCCTGATCTCTTGTACACGGGTCCAATCTAGCCCATCCTCCTCTCCGTCATCACTCCCAGTCCCATCACTCCCTGTGAACCCCATGAAGTCTTCCTCCTCAGTTGGAGCATTAAGTATTTCACAGATCCGCTTCCTTTCTCTCTCTTCATCTGACTCTTGCTCCCGAGTAACCCGCTTCAAACCTCTACACTCCTCTCCCTCCTCCTCCTCCATCTCAGAATCTGTGAACCCTTCGAATGACTCAGTATCTGTAGGTGTTATGAATATTTCCCTAATTCGTTTCCTTCGCTGCTCTTGATCCAACATCTGAGCTGCCCTCTTTGCCCTTCTACTACTCATTGTAGCTTGTTCAGCACACTCTACTACAACAAGCAATGTTCTTGAGAGGTGGATCCTAAGGGGGCATACATAGTGGCTAGAGGTAGTATTGCATTGTGACATGAATTATAAGCCATACATAAAGAAATATAATATCTATGAAATAATAATAATAATAATAATAATAATAATAATAATAATAATATAATTCTCACAGCTAGTCTTTGTTGGTCAGTATACTCTGCAAAGCGTTTTATTCTGTAGCGAGTATAGGATAGAAATAACTCATCCCATTACTAATATAGCAATCAGTGGAATGTTTCCTGATTTTACTTTTGTGCTCAATGATCCTGAGCCTGACTTCTCTGCTGGTTTGACCAATGTAAATAAGTGAGCAGGGACATATAATGGCATATACTACACCTGCAGTGGAGCAGGTAGCAAAGTGATTGATTCTGTATTGAGTTTTAGTGTGCTGGTTCTGAAAGAACTTAGTTTGTAGGAACTGTGAGCATATGGAACAGTGATGACAGGCATAGTTGCCTATCTTTTCCAGTAGGCTGTTAGGAATAGTGCGAAATGAATGCAGTTCGACACCATTTGAACTGTGATGGCTCAGTGCCATGGAATGATGGGAGTTGTAGTTTGGCCAGCACCAGCACTCTTTGGCAGAAAGAGCTAAAGTCTTTGCAGAATGACAACGTATCCTAGGAATCCATTGCATTGAGCCCTGGCACAGTTGCATACGCTGGAGGATTCCCAAAGGGGATCCGGATCGGGGCCAAAGATGAGGCCGAGGGCGATGGGGTGCTTCTGTGATCTCTGGTTTGCTCTGTGAGCATTGTTAGGGGATTGTGGTGACTTGGGGCATGGCTCCTCGGAGTTCAAGCTGTGGTGAAGCAATATTCCAATCAGATTCATGAGAAGTTACTTTGCAGGAAAAGGGAAAAGATGTCCAATGTGCTGCATATATATTTCCACAGATAATGATTCACGCATTTTATATAATTCATATTGTTGGGAGATCTGATTTCTCAATAACCTTCCTTCCTTTCTTCCTCCCCCTCCCTCCATTCTTCATTCTTTCATTCTCCCTCCCTTTGTTCTTTCTTCTTTCCTTCCTTCCCTCTCTTCCCTCCCATCTGTTGTTCTTCCTTTCTTCCTTCTTTCTTCATTCTTTTCTTCCTACTTTCCTCCTTCTCCCTTCCTTCTTTTTTCCTTCCTTTCTTCCCTCCTCCTTCTTCTTCCCTCCTTCCTTTTCCTTCCTTCCTTATCCTTCCTTCCTTCCTTCCCCCTTCCTCCTCTTCCTTCCTTCCTTCCTTCATTCCTTCTTTCTTCTCTCCTTCCTTTTCTCCTCTCTTTCTTCCTTTTCTTTCCTTCCCTCCTTCCTTCTGTTGTTTTTCCTTCCTTCCTCTCTCCCTCCCTTCCTTTCTCCCTCCCCCCTCCCTTCATCCATCCTTCCTTTCTTTCTTCCCCTTCTTCTCTTACTTCTTCCCTACCTTCCTTCTCTTCCCTCCCTCCATTCTCCTTCCTTCCTTCCTTCCTTCCTTCCTTCCTTCCTTCCTTCCTCCTTCCTTCCTTTCTCTTCTCTTCTCTTCTTCTTCTCTCTTCTTCTTTCTCTTCTCTTCTCTTCTCTCTTCCTCTCTTTCCTCCTTCCTTTTCCTTCCTCTCTCCCTTCTCTCTTCTTCCCTTCCTTCCCTCCCTCCCTCCCTCCCTCCCTCTCTCTTTCTCTTTTTCGTTCCTTCTCTCCTTCCCTCTTTCACTTTTTTATTCCCTTCTCTCCTTCCTTCCTTCTCCTTCCTTCCTTCTCCTTCCTTCCTTCCTTCCTTCCTTCCTTCCTTCCTTCCTTCCTTCCTTCCTTCTTTCCTTCTTCTTCTCCTTCTCTCTTTCCTTCTTTCTCTTCCTTCTCTTTCCTTCCTTCCTTCCTTTTTCCTCCTCTCTCTTCTCTCCCTTCTCTTCTTCTTTCCTTCTTCCTTCTCCTCCCTCCCTTTCTTTTCCTTCTTCCTTCTCTTTCTCCTCTTCTCCATCCTTCCTTCTTTCTTCCCTTCTCCCCCTCCTTCTCCTTCCTTCTTTCTTTCCTTCCTCCTTCCCTCCCTCCATTCCCTTCCTTCCTTCCTCTCTTCTCTTTCTTCTTCTCTTCTCTTCTTCTCTTTCTTCTTTCTCTTCTCTTCTCTTCTCTTCTCTCTTCCTCTTTCTTCCTTCCTTTTCCCCTCTCTCCCTCCCTTTCTCTTCCTCTTTCTTCCTTCCTTTTTCCCTCCCTTCTTTGTTTTTTTCTTCCTTCTTTTTCTTCTTCTTTCCTTCCCTCCCCCCTTCATCCCTCCTTCCTTTCTTCCCCTCCTCTCTCTACCTTCCTTCTCTTCCCTCCATTTCCTTCCTTCCTTCTTCTCTGTCTCTTCCTTCTTCCTCCCTTCATCTTTCCTCCCTTCCTTGTTCCTTCCTCACTTCTCCTCCTTTTCTCCCTCTTTTTGCTCTTCCTTCCTTCCTTCCTTCCTTCCTTCCTTCCTTCCTTCCTTCTCCTCTGTCTCTTCCTTCTTCCTCCCTTCATCTTTCCTTCCTTCCTTCTCCTCTCTTTCTCCCTCCTATTGCTCTTCTTTCCTTTCTTCCTTCCTTCCTTCTCCTCCTTTTCTTCCTCTCTTTGCTTTTCCTCCCTCCCTCGCTTTCCAGCCCCAGAACAGCCTTCCGGACGTGGTCATCTGGATGCTGCAAGGGGACCGCCGCGTAGCCTTTGCCCGGGTGCCCGCCCACGAGGTCCTCTATTCCCGCAACGGACCCAATTGCTGCGGCAAGAACTGTGGCAAGCTCCAAACCATATTCATGAAAGTAGGTCTCACCAGCAACACTCTGGATATTGTTTTGTTTTAAAGGAGAGGGCATGATAGTCATGTTTATCTATTGGAAAGGGGGTCACGTTGAGTTGCAGGGGCTGACGTTTGCCCACGCCTGGCCTCTAGATGCACCCCTGAAATGCCTCGTTTGAACAATCTCTGGTGGGTTTCATTGCTTCCTTTTTTGCCGCAGTGTCCTCAGGAGGAGACCCTGGGCCCCAAGATCCGGGTCCAGATCCGGGTGCAGCTCTGGCTCGGGCTCAGTGTGGACGAGAAGGAGTTCAACAAGGCTGCAGAAGGGCGGCTCTCCGTCTTCGCGGAAACGGTGAGATCCTTCAGGTAGAAAATTCTGTGTTAGCAAGAAATGCATTGTATGTAACACCATTGTGTTAAAAATACAGTTCTAATGGACATGTGGTCACAGCATGCTCCACTGAAAGTTTAAGTAAGTGGAGATGTCAACCTGGAGGGACAGCTATGTCATGACCATGTGACAGGCATGACAAGAATTGCATAATTTCTTCTGGCCACTTTGGGTATATAAGGGAGTGACAGATCTATAATAAGTGGGCTAGAAGGCATGATCATCAAGTTTGCAGATGACACCAAATTGGGAGGGATAACCAATAGTCCAGAGGACAGGAGCAGGACTCAAAGGGATCTTGACAGATTAGAGAGATGATGGGACAAAACTAACAAAATGAAGTTCAACAGTGACAAATGCAAGATACTCCACTTTGGCAGGAAAAACGAAATGCAAAGATACAGAATGGGGGACAATGCCTGGCTCGAGAGCAGTACGTGTGAAAAAGATCTTGGAGTCCTCGTGGACAACAAGTTAAACATGAGCCAACAATGTGATGTGGCGGCAAAAAAAGCCAATGGGATTTTGGCCTGCATCAATAGGAGCCTAGTGTCTAGATCTAAGGAAGTAATGCAACCCTTCTATTCTGCGTTGGTTAGACCACATCTGGAATATTGTGTCCAATTCTGGGCACCACAATTCAAGAGAGATATTGACAAGCTGGAATGTGTCCAGAGGAGGGCAACTAAAATGATCAAGGGTCTGGAGAACAAGCCCTATTAAGAGCGGCTTAAAGAGCTGGGCATGTTTAGCCGAAGAAGAGAAGGCTGAGAGGAGATATGATAGCCATGTATAAATATGTGAGAGGAAGCCACAGGAGGAGGGAGCAAGCTTGTTTTCTGCTTCCTTGGAGACTAGGACGCGAAACAATGGCTTCAAACTACAAGAAAGGAGATTCCATCTGAACATAGGAAGAACTTCCTGACTGTGAGAGCCGTTCAGCAGTGGAACTCTCTGCCCCAGAGTGTGGTGGAGGCGCCTTCTTTGGAAGCTTTTAAGCAGAGGCTGGATGGCCATCTGTCAGGGGTGCTTTGAATGCAATATTCCTGCTTTTTGGCAGAATGGGGTTGGACTGGATGGCCCAGGAGGTCTCTTCCAACTCTTTGATTCTATGATTCTATGATTCTATAAGTAACATAGTTTCTGGGAGGCTTTTCATGGTTTTTCTCATGTAGCGAAGAGAAGAGAAGACTTTGCAAGAAAACTTGTAAATTGCCTTGCGTCTTCGGTGAAAGGCAATACGGAAATTTTCCAAATAAATAAAATAACAAATAACTTTCACCATGGCTTGTTGTAGGTTTTTTCGGGCTATATAGCCATGTTCTAGAAGCATTCTCTCCTGACGTTTCGCCTGCATCTAGGGCAAGCATCCTCAGAGGTAGTGAGGTCTGTTGGAACTAGGAAAATTGGGTTTATGTATCTGTGGAATGACCAGGGTGGGACAAAGAACTCTTGCCTGTTGGAGCTAGGTGTATAATTATAATTATATAATTAACTATAATTAATAGGCTGTGTGCACATGAAACATAAACGAATTGGTCCCATTTCCCAAAATATCTCATTATGTATATGCAAATAGTCCAAAACCCTAAATCCAAAACTCTTACGGTCCCAAGGATTTCAGATCTGGGAGACTCAATCAATATAGAAGTGACAACATGTAAGTATAACTCAAGATGCACCTGCACTGTAGAATTAATGCTGTTTGAACCCACATTAAATGCATTAGCTGAATGCTATGGAATATGAGAGTTGTAGATTCACAAGGTCTTGAGCCTTATCTCCAAACTACAACTCACAGGATCCCATAGTAGTGTGTCATGACAGGTCAAGTGGCTTTAAACTGTATTAACTCTACAGTGTAGATGCAAGCAAGGATAACTCAAAAGTCATGAAAGTTCATGCATTATTTCAGATATAAATATGACATAAATGACATAAATAAATCAAAGTATGGCAGTGTTTTATGGAACACTTTGTGGGTAATAATACGTTTGACCGGTGGAAATGGCTCCCAGTTTTGTCCCTCTCCCTGTTTGACCTCTTCTCATCTCTTCTCTTCTCTCCCAGTATGAAAACCAGACCAAACTGGCCCTGGTTGGCAACTGGGGCACCACCGGCCTGACTTACCCCAAGTATTCGGATGTCACCGGGAAGATCAAGTTGCCCAAGGACAGCTTCAAACCTTCGGCTGGATGGACCTGGTCTGGAGACTGGTTTGTCAGCCCTGAAAAGACGTGAGTAAAAGACATGGTCGTTGTTCTTCTTGGGGAAAAGTTTGGGGAACTGCATAGTTTGGGGAACTGCAACTCCCAGGATCCCTTCTGTTGTGTAAACATAGACCTCTCCCATCTTGTATCCAACTGAGATGCAAAGTGCCCCTTGTTACAAGGGAGATCCAGTTTGGTGTTATGGTTTGAGCCTTGGATTAGGACTCAGGAAACTTGGCTTCTATCCTCGCTCAGCCATTAGACCCAATGGGTGCCCTTGGCTGAGTCACACTCTCACAGCCTCAGAAGAAGGCAGTAGCAAGACCTACCTGCCTGCCTGTCTCTAGCTGTCTATCTATCTGAGAGCCATGCTCAGAAACAGAAAGATGGAAAGGAACAAGGTCTCAGCTCATGGTCATCAATGTAGGGCATGAAACTTGAGACTGTGCCTCAGGAAGGTTGGTTATATTTGCTTTGGTGATGATGGTGATGATGATCATGATGGTGGTGATGATGCTGGTGGTAATGGTGGTGGTGATGATGATAGCCCACCTTTTCCAAGAAGTCACAGATCATGGCCACCTATTTAATGTGTGCCTTGAATTCCAACCTATTAATGTCAACTTTAGGAAGATTTATGGTCTTTGCTTGGATGATGATGTTGATAATGGGGGTGGTTATGACGATGGTGATGATGATGGTAATGGTGGTGATGATGATGGGGTGCTGCTGATGATGGTAGTGATGGCAATGATGGTGATGATGATGATGATGGTGGTTATGATGATGGTGGTGATGATGCAATGGTGGTGATGATAATGATGGCGATGATGATGGGATGCTGCTGCTGATGGTAGTGATGGTGATGATGATGGTGGTGGTTATGACGATGGCGGTGATGATGGTAATGGTGGTGATGATAATGATGGTGATGATGATGGGATGCTGCTGCTGATGGTAGTGATGGTGATGATGATGGTTGTGGTTATGACGATGGTGGTGATGATGATAATGGTGGTGATGATAATGATGATGGGATGCTGCTGATGACGGTAGTGATGGCGATGATGATGGTGGTGGGGATGATTATGGTGGTGATACTGATGATGGAGATGGTAGTGATGGTGATTGTAGTGATGGTGATGATGGTGATGATGATAACCCACTTTTGCCAAAAAGTCCCAGATCATGGCCACCTATTTAACATGTGTCTAAAATTCCAACCTTTGAATGCCATGATGATGATGGTAATTGTAATGATGGTGGTGATGGTGATGATGATGTTGTTGTTGTTGTTGTTGTTGGTGATGGTGGTGAGAATGCTGATGACAATAACCCACTTTTGCCAAAAAGTCCCAGATCATGGCCACCTATTTAACATGTGTCTATAATTCCAACCTTTGAATGCCATGATGATGATGGTAATGGTAATGGTAATGGTAATGGTAATGGTAATGGTGGTGGTGGTGGCAATGATGATGATAACCCACCTTTGCCAAGGAGTCTCATATCATGGCCACCTATTTAACATACGCCTTGAATTCCAACCCAGGAATGCCAACTTCAGGAAGGTTGATGGTCTCTCCTTGTATGATGGTGATGGTGATGATAGGATGGTGATGATGATGGTTGTTGTAATGTTGATGATGACGATATTGATAATGATGATGATGGTGATGTTGATAATGATAATGGTGGTGGTGGTGATGGTGTTGATGATGGTGGTGAAGATGATGTTGATAATAGTGGTGGTGATGATGCTGATGGTGGTGGTGATGGTGATGATGGCAATGATGATGGTGATGGTGGTGATAATGATAGTGATGGTAATGGTAATGGTGGTGGTGATGGTGTTGATGATGATGATGGTGATGATGGAGACAGGGATGATAATGATGGTGGTGAAGATGATGTTGATAATAGTGGTGGTGATGATGCTGATGGTGGTGGTGATGATGATGGTGATGGCGATGATGGCAATGATGATGGTGATGGTGGTGATGATGATAGTGATGGTAATGGTGGTGGTCATAGTGTTGATGATGATGGTGGTGATGATGGAGACTGTGATGATAATGATGATGGTGAAGATGATGTTGATGGTGGTGGTGATGACAATGATGGCAATGATGATGGTGATGGTGGTGGTGATGATAGTGATGGTAATGGTAATGGTGGTGGTGATGGTGTTGATGATGATGGTGGTGATGATGGAGACTGTGATGATAATGATGGTGGTGAAGATGATGTTGATAATAGTGTTGGTGATGATGCTGATGGTGGTGGTGATGGTGATGGCGATGATGGCAATGATGATGGTGACGGTGGTGATGATGATAATGATGGTAATGGTGATGGTGGTGGTGATGGTGTTGATGATGGTGGTGATGATGGAGACTGTGATGATAATGATGGTGGTGAAGATGATGTTGATAATAGTGGTGGTGATGATGCTGATGGGGGTGATGATGGCGATGATGGCTATGATGGCAAGGATGATGGTGGTGATGGTGATGATAGGGATGGTAATGGTGATGATGGTGGTGGTGCTAGTGATGGTGATAACCCATCTTTCCCAGATCATGGCCACCTATTTTGAATTATAACCTACGAATGTCATCCCCAGGAAGGCTGGTGGCCTTTGCTTTGATAATGTTGATGATGATGATAATGGTGGTGGTGAGCCACCTTTTCCTCAATGCAGGGTCTCAAGGGGGTTGATCAGGTGCCTTTTTGCTTGGAGCAACCCCTCCGTCACAAGGGATGCAATGCCCTGAGCCCTGCTTTGAGAAAAGAAGCTCTTAGAAGACTTAAGTGGACTCTCCATGGAGCCCTTGAGGCCCACTCAACCCCTCTCTCCTTCTCCAATGCCCATAGGTTGCTTCATGACACGGATGCAGGCCACATGAGCTTTGTGGAGGAGGTCTTTGAGAACCAGGCCCGGCTCCCTGGAGGGCAGTGGATCCACATGGCAGAGGCCTACACTGATGTGGTGAGAAAGGAAGGGAGGAAAAAAGAAGGAAGGGAGGAAGGAAGAGGAAGGAAGGAAGGAAGGAAGGGCATCTTCTTCTTTGGAGGTCTCCAAAGACACTCTCCCCATGGTTTTAATATATGTCATGGAGACTGCCTCCTCCATCCATGTGCCTGTGCACACTACCCATGTTCACACCCTTCTCCTCTTCATCCTCCACCTCTCCATTTTCTCCTTTTCTCTGATGCCACTCTTCTTCATTCTTATTCTTTGTCTTCCTCTTCTCCTTCCTTTATTCTTCATTCTTCCACCTCAATTTTACTCCCTTCTTCTTTCCTCTTTCCTCTTCCTTTTCCCATCCTCTTTTGCTTCTCCCCCTTCTCCCCTGTTCCCTCTTTCTTTCCACCCTTCTCCTTTCCTCCTTTCTCTTTCTCTGTTATGATTCCAGGGCTCTGCTGGTATACAGGCAGAGGTGAACCAAACAAACACTCAGGACACTTCCACACAGCCCTATATCCCAGGCAGGAAATCCCGCATGATCTGAGTGTGGACTCTTTTCCTTCTCCTCCTTTATTCTTTCTTTTCCTACTCTTTTTTCCTCTTCTTCTTCCTCCTCCTTCCCTTCCTTCCGCCTCCTCCTTTTCTCTTCCATTTTGTCTTCTTCAAACTTATCTTTTCCTTGTGGTCTTCCTCTTTCCCCTCCTTCTCTATTTTTTCTATGGCTCCTCTTTTCTCCCTCCTCCCCTTATCTTTTTCTTTTCCCTCTTCCTTCACTTCCTCCTCTTCCTTCCCTCTTCTCCTTCTTCCCTTCCTCATTCATTCTTCCTTGTCCTTTTCCTTTCTCCTTTCCATCCCTCCCTTTCCCCTTCTCCTCTTCTTTTCCCCCTCTCCTTTTCTCTTCTGTTTCCTCTTCTTCCATCTCATAATTTCTTTGTTTCCTTCCACTTCCCCCTCCTTATCCTTTTTCTATTCCTCCTCTTTTCTCCCTCTTCCCCCTTATCTTTTTCTTTTCCCTCTTCCTCCACTTCCTCCTCCTCTTTTTCCTTTTCTCCTTCTTCCTCATTCTTCCTTTTCTTTCTCTTTTTTCTTTTCTCCTTTCCATCTCTCCCTTTCTCCTCCTCCTCTTTCTCCCTCCTCCTTTTTCCTCCTTTTTCCTCCTCTTCTTCCCCCTCCTCTTTTTCCTTTTCTTCTTTTCCCCTCCTGATTGATTCTTCCTTTTCTTTCTCTTTTTTCTTTTCTCCTTTCCATCTCTCCCTTTCTCCTCCTCCTCTTTCTCCCTCCTCCTTTTTCCTCCTTTTTCCTCCTCTTCTTCCCCCTCCTCTTTTTCCTTTTCTTCTTTTCCCCTCCTGATTGATTCTTCCTTTTCTTTCTCTTTTTTCTTTTCTCCTTTCCATCTCTCCCTTTCTCCTCCTCCTTTTTCCTCCTTTTTCCTCCTCTTCTTCCCCCTCCTCTTTTTCCTTTTCTTCTTTTCCCCTCCTGATTGATTCTTCCTTTTCTTTCCCTTTTTTCTTTTCTCCTTTCCATCTCTCCCTTTCTCCTCCTCCTCTTTCTCCCTCCTCCTTTTTCCTCCTTTTTCCTCCTCTTCTTCCCCCTCCTCTTTTTCCTTTTCTTCTTTTCCCCTCCTGATTGATTCTTCCTTTTCTTTCTCTTTTTTCTTTTCTCCTTTCCATCTCTCCCTTTCTCCTCCTCCTTTTTCCTCCTTTTTCCTCCTCTTCTTCCCCCTCCTCTTTTTCCTTTTCTTCTTTTCCCCTCCTGATTGATTCTTCCTTTTCTTTCCCTTTTTTCTTTTCTCCTTTCCATCTCTCCCTTTCTCCTCCTCCTCTTTCTCCCTCTCCCTCCTCCTTTTCCCTTCTGTTTCCTCCTCCTCTTCCTCCACTTCCTCCTCCTCTATTTCCTTTTCTCCTTCTTCCCCTCCTCATTCTTCCTTTTCTTTCCCTTTTTTCTTTTCTCCTTTCCATCTCTCCCTTTTCCCTTCTGTTTCCTCCTCCTCTTCCTCTTGTTACTCTTCCTCCTTCTTTTCCTCCAGGCCTTGACCAGGCTTGCTTCTTCTCTTCCAGAACGGGGAGAAGGTTCTGCCCAAGGATGAGATCGAGTGCCCCTTGGGATGGAAGTGGGAGGACTTTGAGTGGGACATCGACCTCAACCGGGCCGTGGACGAGAGAGGTAACAAGGAGGGAGGGAAGGGGCTCCCTTTCAGATATATGGACCACGGCAAGTCCCTCGGCTTCTGATATAATACCTGCTGACCGCACTGGCAGATGGTGATGAATTGGTGATTTTACTTTGACGACCTGGCTTTATGTAATTGTATGATCTGTATTTTAATGTATTTTATGTATTAATGTATTACGATGCTATTTTGTTTATCCTACTTGTGTACGAATTTCCTGTTGTTAGCCGGCCTGAGTCCCTCTTCGGAGGTTGAGAAGACCGGGTTCTTATAAAAGCTCTAAATAAATAAACAAACAAACAAGCAAACAAACAAATAAATATATTCATTGCTACTTCATAACTCTGATTTTGCTATTGTTATGAATCATAATGTAAATAGCTGATAGGCAGGATGGATTTTCATGCACTGGACCAAATTTTGCACAAATACCCAATACACCCAAATTTGAACACTGGTGAGGTTGGGAGGATTGATTTTGTCATTTGGGAGTTGTAGTTGCTGGGATGTATAGTTCACCTACAATCAAAGAGCATTCTGAACTCCACCAATGATGGAATCGAACCAAACTTGGCACACAGAACTGCCATGCCCAACAGAAAATACCAGAAGGTTTTGGTGGGCACTGACCTTGAGTTTTGGAATTGTAGTTCACCTACATCCAGGGAGCACTGTGGACTCAAATAATGATGGATCAGGACCAAACTTGGCACACATTCTCAATCTGCCCAAATGTGAACCCTGGAGGAGTTTGAGGGAAATAGACCTTGACATTTGGGAGTTGTAGTTGCTGGGATTTATAGTTCACCCACAATCAAAGAGCATTCTGAACCCCACCAGCAATAGAATTGGGCCAAACTTCCCCCATAGAACCTCCATGGCCAACGGAAAATACTGCTTTTTCTGATGGTCTTTGGTGACCCCTCTACACGCCCCTCACGACCCCTCCTGGGGTCCTGACCCCCAGGTTGAGAAACATAGTTATAGGGCTTGTTCTCCAGACCCTTGATCATTTTGGTCGCTCTCCTCTGAACACATTCCAGCTTAGAGTCAACATCTCCCTTCACTTGGACACAGGGTGATTCCAAGTGTGGTCTGACCAAGGCAGAATGGAACATGGGGAGCAGGACTTCCCTGGATCTAGGTACTATTGATGCAAGCAAAATCCCATTGGATTTTTAGCTTGGAGCATCCCATTGTAGGTTCCGTCTTGAGTTGTTCCCTTCTGTGATGTCCTTCTCTGCCTCTCTCTTTCTCTCTCTAAGGCTGGGAATACGGCATCACCATCCCTCCGGACCACAAGCCCAAGAGTTGGGTCCCAACGGAGAAGATGTACCACACCAACCGGCGCCGGCGCTGGGTCCGGCTGCGGAGGAGGGACCTGGCCCAGGTGGAGGCCCTGAGGAAGGTGAGTGGCAACCATGGCTTTTGGGACTTTGGCCATCTTGGTGGCCCTTCTCCAGACAGATTTTCAGACAAATATGTAAACAATGGCCTGTTTGATCAAGAAAAAATTTGTTTCTAAAATCGATTTGTAATTGGGGTGTTTTTTTGTTTCGATATTTAAAATAATTACAAAACTTTCCAAAAAAAGTTTTGGTATTTAAGAAATTTTGTAAATATTAACGAATTTTTAGAATATTTTTGGTATTTCTTAAGAATAATATTAAAATAATATTAAAAAATATTTTAAAATGGAAAATTAACCAAAAAATGGCCCAAATGTGGACCAAACACAGGCGGGATACAGCAAATGAGAGCACACACCAACAGAAGAGTCTTTCTTTTTTAGAATATTTTTTAAGAAAAATATTAAAATAATATTAAAAAATAATATTAAAATAATATTAAAAAATATTTAAAATGGAAAATTAACCAAAAAATGACCAAACACAGGCAGGATACAGCAAATGAGAGCACACACCAACAGAAGAGTCTTTTCTTTTTTAGAATATTTTTAAGAATAATATTAAAAAATAATATTAAAAAATAATAAAAAATAATATTAAAAATAATATTAAAAATAATATTAAAAAATAATATTAAAAATATTTTAACATGGACAATTAACCAAAAAATGGCCCAAATGTGGACCAAAGACAGGCAAGAGACAGCAAATGAAGCAAGCAGCACTCACAGCAGCAAGGAATGAATCCAATCCCAGTTCGTTGCTAGCAGGCAGCCATTGCCAAGCCAACCCAATGCAAACTCCCTCGCCCTCGCCTCTGCACCAAGCTACGGGCCGCGCGGGGCCGCTTTGAAAGGGCTCGCCGGCCAATCAAAAAGGGACAGCCACGGACCCATGGTGCACTGCTTGGGAGCGCCGGATTGGCTCCCATGCACCAGCACTCCAGCAGCCTCCACCCCATTAACGAAACGAGCGGAGGCTCGTAAATACTATGGGGGCTGCTGGTTCGATATTTATAAACCCTTCCGGGTTTGGAGATTTGTTTCAATATCGCTTCGGAAATGGTAAAATTAACGAATTATTAACGAATTAACGAACCAAATCGCACAGGCCTAGTAAACATGGCTCTCTAGACTCCCCTCGGCCTCCGATCCTTTCAGGCCTTGTATTTGCATTTGTCCTGTCCTGCTGTCTATGCAGCCTGGGCTCGGCTGCTTGTGGTTGTCATAAAATATGATGTATAGTTTGAGTGGAGTTGTATGAACGGAGGATGACTGGGGTCTATATAGAGGCTAAAGATGCCCTCCCAAGAAAGTAGGCCTGGACACTACAAAAAAAGAGAGAACTGTTGATGACCAGAGACAAAATATTAACTGTTGAACTCTTGGTGGAAAACAACATGTTTACATCACCAAAAACAATAACTCTTTAAGTTAAGAAGGACGCTGGATTTCAGTAAGGTTACTGGATTTCAGGAAGGCCTTCTTTGACAAGGTCCCCCATGACCTTCTGGCAAGGAAACTAGTCCAGGGTGGGCGAGGCAGAACTACGGTGAGGTGGATCTGGAATTGGTTGAATGGACGAACCCAGAGGGTGATTTTGCCCAAGGCTTCCTCCTCTTCATCCTGGAAAGAAGGGACGAGCAGAGTGCCCAAAGCAGGGTTCCATCCTGGGCCTGGTCCTGATCAGGATCTTCATTCATGACGTAGATGAAGGGCTAGAAGGCAGGATTATCAAGTTTGCAGACGGGACCAAATTGGGAGGGAGAGCCAAGACTCCAGAGGACAGGAGCGGGATTCAAAACGATCTTGACAGATTAGAGAGATGAAGGGCCAAAACTAACAAAATGAAGTTCAACGGGGACAAATGCAAGACACTCCACTTTGGCAGGAAAAACGAAATGCAAAGAGACTGAATGGGGGATGAGGAGGCCTGGCTCGAGAGCAGTACGTGTGAAAAAGATCTTGGAGTCCTCATGGACAACAAGTTAAACATGAGCCAGGAATGTGATGTGGCAGCAAAAAAAGCCAATGGGATTTTGGCCTGCATCAAGAGGAGCGTAGTGTCTAGGTCCAGGGAAGTAATGCTCCCCATGCTCTATTCCGCTTTGGTTAGACCACTTTACCTGGAATATTGTGTCCAATTCTGGGCACCACAATTCAAGAGAGATCTTGACTCTAAGCTGGGATGTGTCCAGAGGAGAGCGACTCAAAGGATCAAGGGTCTGGAGAACAAGCCCTATGAGGAGCGGCTTAAAGAGCTGGGCATGTTTAGCCTGAAGAAGAAAAGGCTGAGAGGAGACATGATGAGGGCCATGGATCAATATGTGAGAGGAAGCCACAGGGAGGAGGAGGGAGCAAGCTTCCTTTCTGCTTCCCTGGAGACTAGGATGCAAGGGAACAATGGCTTCAAACTACAAGAGAGGAGATTCCATCTGAACATGAGGAAGAACTTCCTGACTGTGAGAGCCATTCAGCAGTGGAACTCTCTGCCCCAGAGTGTGGTGGAGGCTCCTTCTTCGGAAGCTTTTAAGCAGAGGCTGGATGGCCATCTGTCAGGGGTGATTTGAATGCAATATTCCTGCTTCTTGGCAGAATGGGGTTGGACTGGATGGCCCACAAGGTCTCTTCCAACTCTAGGATTCAAGAATTCTAGGATTCTATGACGCAAACAAGACTCCTTAAGGAGGAAAACCAATTATGAGTTAAGAATATACCCAAACTCAAGGTCAGTGCCCACCAAACCCTTCCAGTGTTTTCTCTTGGTCATGGGAGTTCTGTGTGCCAAGTTTGGTTCAATTCCATCATTGGTGGAGTTCAGGATGCTCTTTGATTGCGGATGAACTACAAATCCCAGCAACTACAACTCCCAAATCACAAAATCAATCCCTGCCCCAACCCCACCAGTATCCAAATCTGGGTGTATTGGGTATTTGTGCCAAATTTTGTCCAGTGAATCAATAATAATAATAATAATAATAATAATAATAATAATAATAATAATAAACCTTTATTTGTACCTGGCTACCATCTCCCAAAGGACTCGGTGCGGCTTACAAGAGGCCGAGCCCAAATACATCAGTAAAACAACAACAACAATACAACAATAAATAAACTCATATACAAGCAGTAAACATCAACAATAACACCAGAAAATACATCTTGCATGTTAGATATTTACATTGCGATTCATAACAGTAGCAAAATTACAGTTATGAAGTAGCAACGAAAGTAATGTTATGATTGGGGGTCATCACAATATGAGGAACTGTAATAAGGGGTCGTGGCATTTCACAGAATCACAGAATCATAGAATCCTAGAATCAAAGAGTTGGAAGAGACCTCCTGGGCCATCCAGTCCAACCCTTCTGCCAAGAAGCAGGAATATTGCATTCAAATCACCCCTGACAGATGGCCATCCAGCCTCTGTTTAAAAGCTTCCAAAGAAGGAGCCTCCACCACACTCTGGGGGCAGAGAGTTCCACTGCTGAACAGCTCTCACAGTCAGGAAGTTCTTCCTCATGTTCAGATGGAATCTCCTCTTGTAGTTTGAAGCCATTGTTCCATCCTAGTCTCCAGGAAGCAGAAAACAAGCTTGCTCCCTCCTCCCTGTGGCTTCCTCTCACATATTTATACATGGCTCTCATATCTCCTCTCAGCCTTCTCTTCTTCAGGCTAAACATGCCCAGCTCCTTAAGCCGCTCCTCATAGGGCTTGTTCTCCAGACCCTTGATCATTTTAGTCGCCCTCCTCTGGACACATTCCAGCTTGTCAATATCTCTCTTGAATTGTGGTGCCCAGAATTGGACACAAAGCAGAATAGAGGGGTAGTATTACTTCCTTAGATCTAGACACTATGCTCCTCTTGATGCAGGCCAAAATCCCATTGGCTTTTTTTGCCGCCACATCACATTGTTGGCTCATGTTTAACTTCCTGTCCACGAGGACTCCCAGATCTTTTTCACACGTACTGCTCTCGAGCCAGGCATTGTCCCCCATTCTGTATCTTTGCATTTCGTTTTTTCTGCCAAAGTGGAGTATCTTGCATTTGTCACCGTTGAACTTCATTTTGTTAGTTTTGGCCCATCTCTCTAATCTGTCAAGATCGTTTTGAATTCTGCTCCTGTCCTCTGGAGTCTTGGCTCTCCCTCCCAATTTGGTGTCGTCTGCAAACTTGATGATCCTGCCTTCTAGCCCTTCATCTAAGTCGTTAATAAAGATGTTGAACAGGACCGGGCCCGGGACGGAGCCCTGTGGCACTCCACTCGTCACTTCTTTCCAAGATGAAGAGGAAGCATTAGTGAGCACTCTCTGTGTTCGTCCACTTAACCAATTACATTTGGAAGGTAGAGAAACATTGTATTGTCGAAGGCTTTCATGGCTGGAATCACTAGGTTCTCGTGTGTTTTTTTGGGCTATATGGCCATGTTCTAGAGGCATTTCTCCTGACGTTTTTGCCTGCATCTATGGCAAGCATCCTCAGAGGTAGTGAGCAACATTAAAGCCTTGGCAGACAGTGCAAAAAGAATCTGCGAAGCCCACTTCCTCCAAGAGGAACTGAACCACCTCAACTGGGCTCTCCAGGCCAAGGGAGACTCTACCTCGGACATCAGAAGAGCTGCAAGACCACCGAGAAGAAGCCACGAGAGTCAAGATGAAGATCCACCCAGAGGAGAAGTGTTCCTGCCAGACATCAAGGGAACCACTGACCGCAGAGGGAAACTGATGAGGAAACACAACATACAAACAATCTCCAGACCCACCAAGAAAATCCAACCAATGCTTCGTTCAGCAAAGGACTCAAGAGGGATCCTCTCACCTCTGCGGGAGTCTACCATTGTATACCATGCAGCTGTGGACAAGAAGTCTCCAGAGGGACCACCAAATGCAGCGTTGCCCAGACACGCATCAAGGAACATGAAAGGCACTGCAGACTACTACAACCAGAGAAGTCAGCCATAGCAGAGCACCTGAGGAACCAGCCTGGACACAGCAGATGATCTGAGAACACAGAAATGCTGGACCACTCCCACAACCACCAGGTCAGACTACACAGAGAAGCCATTGAAATCCACAAGAAGCATTTGGACAATTTCAACAGAAAGGAGGAAACCATGAAAATGAACAAAATCTGGCTGCCAGTATTAAAAAACTCTAAAATTACAACAGCAAAACAGCAGAGAGGAAACAACCAGGCACATCTTAACACCTCTCAACAGGGGATTTTCCCAGGCTCAGCCAGGCCTTCAAATGCTAATAAAGGTGGTCAGTTGAAACATTCACACCTAGCTCCAGCAGAGAAGAGCTCTTTGCCCCACCCCAGCCATTCCACAGATATATAAACCCATTGTCCTAATTCCAACAGACCTCACACCTCTGAGGATGCTTGCCATAGATGCAGGCGAAACGTCAGGAGAAATGCCTCTAGAACATGGCTCTATAGCCCGAAAAAACCCACAAGAATATAGCAAAAGTCTTCACTCCAAGACAGCTCCAAGAAAAATGCAGGGAACAAAACCAACCTCTGTACATGGCATTCATCGACCTTGCAAAGGCATTCGACACAGTGAATCGCAGCGCTCTCTGGACCATCCTCCACAAAATCGGGTGCCCAAGCAAATTTGTGAACATCCTGCGGCTCCTCCATGATGACATGATGGCAACAGTCTTGGACAGCAGTGGCTCCAAAAGTGACCCATTTAAAGTGGAATCAGGTGTCAAACAGGGATGTGTTATTGCCCCAACTCTATTCTCCATCTTCATCGCTATGATACTTCACCTTGGGATGGGAAGCTTCCCACCGGAGTGGAAATAATCTATCGGACAGATGGCAAGCTATTCAACCTCAGCAGACTGAAAGCCAAAACCAAGGTTACAACAACAGCTGTTATAGAACTCCAGTATGCTGATGACAACGTCGTCTGTGCGCATTCAGAAGAAGATCTACAAGCCACTCTAAACACCTTCGCAGAAGCATACGAGAAGCTCGGCCTGTCACTGAACATTGAGAAAACCAAGGTGCTGTTCCAGCAGTCGCCAGCCAATCCCTAATACAGCTTAATGGTGTCACATTAGAAAATGTGGACCATTTCCGCTACCTTGGCAGCCACCTCTCCACCAAAGTCAACATCGACGCCGAAATACAACACCGCCTGAGCTCTGCAAGTGCAGCATTTTCCAGAATGAAGCAGAGAGTGTTTGAAGACCGGGACATCCGTAGGGAGACCAAGGTGCTTGTCTATAAAGCTATTGTCCTCCCCACCCTGCTCTATGCCTGCGAAACGTGGACTGTCTACAGACGTCACATGCAGCTCCTGGAACGATTCCATCAGCGCTGCCTCCGGAAAATCCTGCAAATCTCCTGGGAAGACAAGCGGACAAATGTCAGCGTGCTGGAAGAAGCAAAGACCACCAGCATTGAAGCGATGGTCCTCCAACATCAACTCCGCTGGGCCGGCCAAGTTGTCCGGATGCCTGACCACCGTCTCCCAAAGCAGTTGCTCTACTCCGAACTTAAGAACGGAAAACGGAACGTTGGTGGACAGGAAAAGAGATTAAAAGATGGGCTCAAAGCCAACCTTAAAAACTCTGGCATAGACACTGAGAACTGGGAAGCCCTGGCCCTTGAGCGCTCCAGCTGGAGGTCAGCTGTGACCAGCAGTGCTGCAGAATTCGAGGAGGCACGAGTGGAGGGTGAAAGAGAGAAACGTGCCAGGAGGAAGGCGCGTCAAGCCAACCCCGACCGGGACTGCCTTCCACCTGGAAACCAATGCCCTCACTGTGGAAGAAGATGCAGAGCAAGAATAGGGCTCCACAGCCACATACGGACCCACAAGGAAATCCATAATGGAAGACCATCTTACTCGTCCAACGAGGGATCGCCTAAGTAAGTAAGTAAAGGTAAAGGTAGTCCCCTGACATTAAGTCCAGTCATGTCTGACTCTGGGGTGTGGTGCTCATCTCCATTTCTAAGCCGAAGAGCCAGCGTTGTCCGTAGACACCTCCAAGGTCATGTGGTCGGCATGAGTGCATGGAGGGCCACCGGGGGCTCCATAGAGAAACATTGCTCTAGCTCATATTTTAGGCTCTGTTGCCTGCAATTCCTTCACCCAGCTCTAGGAGACACCTTCGTACCAGGAATGCCTGCAATGCTATGGTCAAGTTCCAAATCCAGGGACGCAAGCCCCATCTGCACTGCCTTCAATAGAGTTGGAATTGCATTATTGCATATAATAAACAGTCCAATTCAGCTCAACCCCATTATAGGACCATATAATGTATATAAGCAGCCTTGGATTCCAGGATGATGATGATGATGATGATGATATTAATGATCATAATAATATAACACCATTCTGGTAATAATAATGAGAATTAGAATAATGATAATATGCTGGTGATGATGGACAACAAGTCCTATGAGGAGCGGCTTAAAGAGCTGGGCATGTTTAGCGTGAAGAAGAGAAGGCTCAGAGGAGACATGATAGCCATGTATAAATACGTGAGAGGAAGCCACAGGGAAGAGGGAGCGAAGTTGTGTTCCGCTGCCCTGGAGACTAAGACGCAATGGTTTTAAATTCTCTGTGTTACTGTTTATATGTAAGTTATATTAATTGTACTGTTTTAATTGCTTGCTGTTTTGTTTTTACTGATGTGTTGTTGGGCTTGGCCTCATGTAAGCCTCCCCGAGTCCCCTTAGGGAGATGGTGGCAGGGTGTAAATAAATAAATACATTATTATTATTATTATTATTATTATTATTATTATTATTATTAATTAGAAACATAACAAGATTAGTACACAGCAAACAAGATCACTCTGCAGGTGGTTGTATTGGATCACATGTCGGACACTTCCCAAGTGTCTAGGATTACTACTACTACTACTACTACTACTATTACAGAACAATGGCTTTAAACTACAAGAAAGAAGATTCCACCTAAACATTAGGAAGAACTTCCTGACTTAAGGAGAGCTGTTCAGCAGTGGAACTCTCTGCCCTGGAGTGTGGTGGAGGTTCCTTCTATGGAGGCTTTTAAACAGAGGCTGGATGGCCATCCGTCGGGGGTGCTTTGAAGGCGATTTTCCTGCTTCTTGGCAGAATGGGGTTGGACTGGATGGTTCATGAGGTCTCTTCTAACTCTAGGATTCTATGATTTGATGATGATACAAATGACTGCATTTGACACAGTCGACCACAATCTTTTGACCCACCAACGCCTTGCTGTTGCTGGAGTGAGTCAGGGGGAGAGCTTTAAACTGGCCATCCTCCTTCCTTCACAACCGTGGACAGCGAGTGGAGAGGGGAGGCCTGGTCTCTGAGAGGTCCCCCCTCTCTCTCTCTCTGGTGGGGTTCCTCCTCAGGGGGCCATTCTCTCCCCTCTCTTGTTTCACATCTCTATGCGACCACTTGCTCAGCTGGTTCGAGGTTTTGGGCTGGAGTGTGACCAGTACGCCGATGACACTCAGCTGGTGCTGAGGATGGAGGGCAGACCGGACTCTGTACCCGATTGTTTCCATCAGTGCCTCGAGGCCGTGACTGGATGGCTGCGTGCCAGCAGGTTGAGGGTGAATCCAGCAAAGACGGAGATCCTATGGCTGGGTCAACCGGGCAGTGGGGACATCCATCTGCCCACCCTGGATGGCGAGGCGTTACGCCCGTCATCATTGGTCAAGAGTCTGGGAGTCCTTTTGGACCCTCTGCTGACAATGGAGGCCCAGGTCTCCGCCGTGAGCAGAACCGCCTTCTTTCACCTGCGGCAGGCTAGACGGCTGGCCCCCTACCTGTCCAGGGACGACCTAGCTACGGTGATCCAGGCCACGGTCATCTCGAGACTGGACTACTGTAACGCCCTCTACATTGGCCTCCCTCTGTCGGTGATCCGGAAGCTCAAGTTGGTACAAAATGCCGGCTTCTTGCGGGAATTCCGATGAGATGCCACATCACCCCAATCTTCCTGCAGCTGCATTGGTTGCCAATTGAGCACCGGATCACTTTCAGAGTGATGGGACTCACCTTGAAGGCCTTGCATGGTCTGGGGCCGATGTACCTGAGGGACCGCCTCACCCCCTCCCAACCCCAGAGATCCCTCCGTTCTGAGGACCAAGATCCTATTGGAAATTCCCAGTGTCAAGACCTTGCGCCTAACAGCAACCAGACGCAGAGCCTTCACAGCAGTGGCACCATCTCTCTGGAACACTCTGCCACCCGAAGTCCGTGCCTTGCGGGACTTACCAGCTTTCTGCAGGGCATGGAAGACATACCTGTTTTGACAGGCCTTTGATCCTTGATATTGCTGTTTTTAAATTGTGTTCGATTTTAGCCTGTTCTTGTAAGCCGCTCCGAGCCCCAGGGGAGTGGCCGCATAGAAGTTTGAATTATAAATAAATAAATAAATAAATAATATTTATTCATTTATTTATTTACTATTTACAGTATTTATATACTGCCTTTCTCACCCCTGGGGGGACTCAAATTATTATTGTTATAATAACCAACAGGGTAGTAATAATAATGAGAATAATGTTAATATGATAATATGATGATGATGGTTGCATCCAACACCTGTTTTGATTTTTGTAAGTAGCCTTGAACTCCATCATCATCATCATCATCGTCATCGTCATCGTCATCATCACCGTGGTCCTGCTGCTACAGCTGGCTCTCTTCCTCCTTGTTGATGCTGATTCCTTTCTTTTCCTTTTCGTGCAGAGTAAACAGGAGGAGCTGGAGGGCGAGGGCTGGGAGTACGCCTCCCTCTTCGGCTGGAAGTTCCACCTGAAATACCGCAAGACCGACTCCTTCCGCCGGCGGAGGTGGAGGCGCCGCATGGAGCCCTTGGAGCAGACCGGAGCCGCCGCGGCCTTCGCCCTGGAAGGCGCCCTGGTAGGCACCACGCCTTTTCCCTGTGGGGCCACAATGGGGATGCTGGGAGGAGGGAGCAGGCATATAATAATAATAATAATAATAATAATAATAATAATAATAATAATAATAGGGTTGTTGTAGGTTTTTTTCCAGGCTATATGGCCATGTTCTAGAGGCATTCTCTCCTGACGTTTCGCCTGCATCTATGGCACAAAAACAGTATTTTTTAGGTTCTTGTGGGTTTTTTCGGGCTATAGCGCCATGTTCTAGAGGCATTTCTCCTGACGTTTCGCCTGCATCTATGGCAAGCATCCTCAGAGGTAGTGAGGTCTGTTGGAATTAGGACAATGGGTTTATATATCTGTGGAATGGCTGGGGTGGGGCAAGGAGCTCTTCCCTGCTGCGGCTAGGTGTGAATGTTTCAACTGATCACCTTCATTAGCATTTGAAGGCCTGCCTGAGCCTGGGAAAATCTCTTGCTGGGAGGTGTTAATATGTGCCTGGTTGTTTCCTCCCTGTTGTTTTGCTGTTGTAATTTTAGAGTTTTTTAATACTGGTAGCCAGATTTTGTTCATTTTCATGGTCTCTTCCTTTCTGTTGAAATTGTCAATTTGAGTTTTTTTTTAATACTGGTAGCCAGATTTTGTTCATTTTCATGGTCTCTTCCTTTCTGTTGAAATTGTCCACATGCTTGTGGATTTCAATGGCTTCTCTGTGTAGCCTGACATGGTGGTTGTTGGTGTGGTCCAGCATTTCTGTGTTCTCAAATAATATGCTGTGTCTGTTGGAACTAGGAAAAAGGGTTTATATATCTGTGGCATGACCAGGGTGAGACAAAGGACTCTTGTCTGTTGGAGCTAGGTGTGAATGTTTCAACTGACCACCTTGATTAGCATTTGATGGCCTCGCAGTGCCTGGGGCAGTCTAACTGACCTCACTACCTCTGAGGATGCTTGCCATAGATCCAGGCGAAACGTCAGGAGAGAATGCCTCTAGAACATGGCCATATAGCCCGAAAAAACCTACAACAACCAAGTGATTCCGGCCATGAAAGCCTTCGACAATACAATAATCATAATAATAATAATAATAATAATAATAATACATCACACAGTCCCAGACGCTTGGGAAGTGTTCGACTTGTGATTTTTTGATATGAAATCCAGCATATAGATCTGTTTGCTGTGACATACTGTGCTTTTGTGGCTCCTCCTAAAGACTGCCAATGTGTGGGCTTGCCTGATATCCTTGGGGAGTGAGTTCCAGAGTCGGGCAGCCACCACCGAGAAGGCCTCTCCCTCGTCCCCACCAATCGCACCTGCGAAGGGGGCGGGAGCATGAGCAGGGATTCTCCAGATGATCGAAGGGATCGTGTGGGTTCGTAAACAGAAATGCGGTCACGCAGGTAGGCGGGTCCCAAACCGTTCAGGGCTTTATAGATAAGGACCTGCACCTTGAATTGGGACCGGAAAATGAACGGCAGCCAGTGGAGCTCCTTGAACATGAGGGTTGACCGCTCCCTGCAAATCGCCCCAGTTAGTAACCTGGTGGCCGCCAGTTAGACCAATTGAAATTTCTGAGCCGTCTTCAAGAGCAGCCCCATGTAGAGTGCATTGCAGTAGTCCAATCTGGAGGTGACTAAGGCGTGGACCACCCTGGCCAGATCCAACTTCACGAGGTCACAGTTGGCGCATGAGTCTTAATTGTGCGAAGGCCCTCCCGGCCACCACCGACGCCTGAGCTTCAAGCGTTAGCGATGAGTCTAGGAGGACACCCCAGGACTTCAAGGGAACCCCATCCAGCACAGGTTTCCACCCTATACTCCGATCTGGCTTATGATCGACCAGGAGGACCTCTGTCTTGTCGGGATTGATCCTCAGCTTGTTCCTCCTCATCCAGGCAGCCACAGCGGCCAGGCACTCGTCCAGCACTCGAGGGGCCTCCTTGGAGTTAGGTGGAAAAGAGTAGTAGAGTTGCGTGTCATCTGCATAGAGGTGGCACCCAACTCCAAAACTCCGGATGACCTCTCCCAGCAGTTTCATGTAGATGGCTTGACATCACAGCTGCCTTTGCCTTGGGATTTTGGGGAGGTGGGCTTGGCTTTGGGGTGGGGACTGCCTTGATGACACTTGGTCCATCAAAGCTACCCAATTGTGGGTTCCAGGTTTGAATCCTTGGCATTTGTAAGCCACCCCCAGATTCAGGTGAGACCGCGTAGCAAGGGCAGTCAGGGCCACAATCCCCTTGAGGTGCCTTCCCTCATTGAAGAAGCCAAGGTCGCTCTTCGGAAGGACGTCGGCCAGCCTCGGCCTCTTCTCCCCCCAAAACGACCCGTTCCCACATTTATTTTCTTAACTAATATGTTGGCTTTCTTAAGACATTGGATTTCATAATCTGCTGGCTTTTCCAGGCAGCTAATGGGAACCAAAGGGCTCTGGCACAAAGGCGCTATTATATTTCCCCCTTCCCCGTCCTTCTCCCCGCTCCTCCTCTGGATTTTCCTTCTTTAGGTTACAGTTTGTCCTTTTCCTCCTCTTTTTCCCCCCCTTGACATTTGGATTCGGTTTGAGGCAAGTTCATGTATAAAATGTAGTCGTGTGGTTTGCCTTTTCCCCCCCCTTTACCTTCTCTCTTTCTTTTAAAATACGTTTTGGTATATTCTTACTCTCCTCCGGCGCTTGCCAAGTTTCCTCGACTCCTTGCGCAGAGAACGGCCAAACGGCACGGGCTTAAAATAAAAGGGGAGGGGGGGGGGGAAAAAGAGGAAAAGACTCCCCCCTTTTTTTGCATGGCCCTCCCAAGATGCCCCAGGAATTCGAAACGTGTGCCCAGGATCCACCTGATAGCTGTGGGCAAAGTTTTAGTAGAGATACGGATAGGGAAATGCCACCACTGTTGCAACTCAGAGTAAGCTTCACCTTGCTTCCAAACACCACCACACAAGATGTCCAGACCCAGAAGCCTTAATTAGAGCCAAACACAAGATAAGAGTTCAAACACAGCTTTATTATACAAAAATAGTCCTTCAAAGCACTTAACTTCAGTGCAAAGAGTCCCAGTAGTAATTTGGCATCAAAAACAAAGCGATACCAGTAACAAAAATATAACCCGGATTATAGCGCTGCCTTATAATCCGGATTAAACTCAAACTTAAGCAATTCGCTTGAAAGCTGGCACAGCACAAAAACACAGTCACAGAAGATGGAAAAACGAAGTCCCAGAACGAGGAATTGTTCAAGCACAAAGTTATAAGAGTTTAAAGGCCAGAAAGCCAAAAACAATAGTCAAACCGGTCCGTGGTCAAGCCGTTGGTAAACAAATGCTGGAACGCAGGAATCACCAAGGAACAGGAATTCAGAAACACACGAAGCTGTAGCCCAAGGACCCAAATTTAAGAGTTGGCAGTACAAAGAGTTATGTCCAATAAAGACACTTTGCCTTCTGCAAAGCATCATGCAAACAGAAACCACTTTTATCTCAAAGTTCCTCCTCAGAGCTTGATGAACTCCTCACCCTCACTACCTCTGAGGATGCTTGCCATAGATGCAGGCGAAACGTCAGGAGAAAAATTGCCTCCAGAACATGGCCATATAGCCCAGAAAAACCTACAACAACCCATGGATTCCAGCCATGAAAGCCTTTGACAATACATTCCCCACCCTTCATTCATTGCTCTCCACCTCTGCCAGCGTCTGCTAAGACTTAGATCCTGCCAAGAGGTCCTTGGCTGCCAATCCTCAGTGAACCCCTCCAATTCCTCACTGGAGGTGGGTTGATTGCTAATGTCCCTTATTTGTTGAACACGGGTCCAATCCAATTCCTCCTCCTCTTCCATATCACTCCCAGACCCAGAACTCCTTTCAAACCCCAGGAAATCCTCATCCTCTGTTGGCGCACTAAGTATTTCCTGGATGCGCTTCCTCTGCAACTCCCCTTCAGACTCCGGATCGCGAGCAGCCCTCTTTACACCTCTGCTCTCTTCCCCATCCCCTATTTCACAATCTGAGAAGCCTTGAAACGTGTCATAGCATCATAGAATCATAGAATCAGAATCAAAGAGTTGGAAGAGACCTCATGGGCCATCCAGTCCAACCCCCTTTGCCAAGAAGCAGGAATATTGCATTCAAAGCACCCCTGACAGATGGCCATTCAGCCTCTGTTTAAAAGCCTCCATAGAAGGAGCCTCCACCACACTCCGGGGCAGAGAGTTCCACTGCTGAACAGCTCTCACAGTCAGGAAGTTCTTCCTCATGTTCAGGTTGAATCTCCTTTCTTGTAGTTTGAAGCCATTGTTCCATGTCCTAGTCTCCAGGGAAGCAGAAAACAAGCTTGCTCCCTCTCCTCCCTGTGGCTTCCTCTCACATATTTATACATGGCTATCATATCTCTTCTCAGCCTTCTCTTCTTCAGGCTAAACATGCCCAGCTCATTAAGCCGCTCCTCATAGGGCTTGTTCTCCAGACCCTTGATCATTTTAGTCTCCCTCCTCCCTGTGGCTTCCTCTCACATATTTATACATGGCTATCATATCTCCTCTCAGCCTTCTCTTCTTCAGGCTAAAGTGTCAGTATCACTTGGGGCCATAATGATTTCCCGAATGCGCTTTCGCTGTTGTTCTCCCTCTGACTCCTGAGCAGACCTTTTCTCCCTGCTACCAGGAGTAGCAACGCTATCAACACGCTGAACTACAACACAAGAGCTGTAGTTTTATAGTTTATTGAGGAAAAAATCCAAGTCAAAATAAAGAATAAGCATTGCAAAGTTCCAAAGATTAAGGTTAAATGCAGAATATAGTTCCAAAGATCTTCAGGTAAAAGCAGGAGACACAATCCTATTGGCAAAGTTCAAACCAGAGTCCCAGGTACAAGCAATGAAACAATTGCCCCAGGAATCACAATGCAAGAAATCCCAAGCGTACTGCTTTCCAGGCTAAGGTTATTCCATGAAGCTTTCAGGCTAATGAGCTACGTTGAACTGACGCTTTCTCAGGGTTTGCAAGAAGCCTAAATACCTTTCTA